TTCTAGAGGCAAGAAAATACATTTTTTCATGTATACTGAGAAGTGCAACTAAAGGACAGTGAAAATAGGTCTAGAGATTTCATTCCATTTAAAGCCAGTATCACTTAACTCAGCTTTTCATCCATTATGATTTAAGGAATTATTTATCTAGTAGTAAGTAATGAAATTAATTTTAGAATTAATCTTTGATCTGATCAAATCCTCAAGATTGAAAAATGGAACCAATCTCATGTATGAATTGAAAAGACCAATATTATCCTCATGCTTCTTATTTCAAAATTATTTCCCATCATATCCAACTCAGCATCCTCTGTGGGTATGTGTTCATGAAATCTGATTCCTGAAAATGTTAGACCATTGGATCTTGGAGATGAATGACAGGAAGTTGTCAAAAATCAGACCTTGGTCCTTGGAATGAACATTTTTTAACTGCCCAGTCATATCTCTAGTGCTGTAATTTTTTAAAGTCTATTTATATCATTCGGAGTGTGGAAATGAGGACAAACTCATACAGGAGAAAAACCCTATTCAGGTAAACAATTTAGTAAAGACTTTAGACATCACAGTTGTCTTCAGCTTCAAGAAAAAGAAATCATGTTTCATTTATTTTTCATCGCATACTTAAAGGAAGAAAATTACTTACCATTTTCACTTAGGACTAATGGTGGAGATCACTTCATTGTGATTTCTTTTTTTTTAAGATTTATATTTATTTATTATGTATACAATGTTTTGTCTGTATGTATGTCTGCACGCCAGAAGAGGGCATCAGATCTCATTCTAGATGGCTGTGAGCTACCATGTGATTGCTAGGAATTGAACTCAGGACCTCTGGAAGAGCAGCCAGTGCTCTTAACCTCTGAGCCATCACTCCAGCCCCGCATTGTGATTTCTATCTTGAAACTTTTGAGGTAGATACTAAAGTGTGCAATATGTGTGACAAATACATTTAGTGATGTTTATTTTGTTGCCTTTGTGTTTCTCCTATGCATTTTGTTCATTTTCTAGTGTACTTTTTTAGTGATAGATATTTTTTCTGCTGTAATGTAGAGAATGGTGTACCCATAATCTAAGTGGTCCAGTGTTTACTTAAATATCAGGCAGTGTGTGATCATACTTTTCAAGGAAAGTTGTCTATAAAATGGTGGTGGGTTTTTGTTGCTGGCTTTGTGTTTCATATTTCCACAAATTCCCTTGAGATATGAGCTTGTAATTCTGTTTGGCTTGGATGTCAGTAATGATTCAGAGATACATTTGAACTCATGATCCTCATGTATCCACCTCCTGAGTACAAGTTCAAAGGTAGATGATGGACTCCCATCATGTATGCTTTTTTTCAACGAAATTTAACAATGTTAATGTTAAAATGCTCAATGGAAGAGAATATAAGAAACATTAAATACATCATGTGTGTATTCAAAAAAAGAAGTAATGAATCAGTGTGGTGTGAGTAATGAAGTTGGTCTCTCCATTTGATGTCCTGATTTCCAGTGGAACTCATGGCTTGTAATGATTGTGAGTACAAGGAAATAAGTCCCCAGAGTAAAAGTTATCTTTCAAAGCAAAAGAAGCAGACGTCATATACAATCACTAGGATAATTACATTATAAATGACTTACAGAGTCAGAACAAGTTTTTTACAGAAATAATACATACATATTTCTCCTAAGATATATGATATATGAAAAATACTCTTTACTAGGTAGCCTTCCTGGAGTTGTGAGTTGCAGCCTGGTTATCCTATGCTTTATATCTAGTATCAACTTATGAGTGAATACATACCATGTTTGTCTTTCTGAGTCTGGGATATCTCACTCAGGATGATTTTTTCTAGATCCATCCATTTGCCTTCAAACCTCATGATGTCATTGTTTTTCTCTGCTGAGTATTACTCCATTGTGTATATATACCACATTTTATTTATCCATTCTTCAGTTGAAGAGCATCTAGGTTGTTTCCAGGTTCTGGCTATTACAAATAATGCTGTTATGAATATAGCTCAGATTGTGTCCTTGTGGTATGATTGAGCATTCCTTGTTTGTATGCCCAAGAGTGGTATAACTGGGTCTCAAGGGGGATCACAAGGATCACCTAACAACAGAGAAATGGATGAGATCTACATGAGCAAACTGGACATGGGGGTGCAGGGCAAGGGTTGGGGCAAAGAGAGCTTAGGGGAGTGGTGGGTCCCAGCTGGATCAGAAACAGAGTGGAAGAACAAGGAAAGAGATACCATAATAAATGAAGACCCCATGGGAATAGGAAGAAGCAAAGTGCTAGAGAGGTGTCCAGAAATCCACAAAGATACCTTAACAATAGACTACTGGCAATGGTCGAGAGAAAGCCCAAGCTGACCTACTCTGGTGATTAGATGGCTGAACACCCTAACTGTCATGATAGAACTATCATCCAGTGACCGATGGAAGCAGATGCAGAGATCTATGGACAAGCCCCAGGAGGTTCTCCAGAAGTCCAATCGGCAAGAGAGAGGAGGGATCATATGAGCAAGAGATATTGAGACCATAATTGGAAAAAAGCACAGGAACAAATAGCCAAACTAGTGGAAACACATGAACTATGAACCAATAACTGAGGAGCCTCCATGGAACTGGATCAGGCCCTCTGGATAAGTGAGACAGCTGATTAGCTTGAACTATTTATGAGGCCCCCAGGCAGTGGGACCAGGACCTGTCCTTAGTGCATGAACTGGTTTTTTGGAACCTAGGGCCTATGCAGAGACACTTTGCTCAGCCTTGGTGTAGGGAAGAGGGGACTGGACCTGCCTTAACTAAATCTACCAGGCTGAGCTGAATCATCAGGGGAGACCTTGTCTTGGAGGAGGTGGGAATGGGGGGTGGATTGGAGAGAAAGGGGGGAAGAGGGAGGACAGGGGAATCCGTGCCTGATATGTAAAATTAAATTAATTATAAAATAAAATTTAAAAAAATACTATGCTCTTTATGGAACTTAAATCCTATTGTGGTCTCATTCTGGAAGAATCTACATGGACAAGTGGAAATGACAGTTGGCCTCATGGAATTGTGTCCTTAATTCTATTGCATCTGCTCCACTGTATTTCTGACAAAACTTTTGCATGTTAGTTTCCATAGCCTTTGCCTATTAAACAAGCCACTTCATTTATTTGTCATTTCATTAAAGCCTTTTATGTATACGTACTGTTCTACCTCTTCCAAATTCTGATTTATTACAAGATATCCAAGAACGGGCAAATTCTCTTTTTACATGAAACCTTCAGTTGTAGTGTAGAGAACTCTGTCTCCAGAGTCTGGAGCACAGGAGTCTGAGGTTATCTGTCAATAGCTATGGATTATCCCAGTGGCCTCAATCTTTAGTGTATAGATGACTATATTCTTGAGGAGACATATTTGTGTGCTCAAATCTGATTCCCAACTTCCTCTTGTGAGGACATCAACAGTATTGGATTAAATGCAATCTGCTAACCACTTTAACTTACTTATCTCTATGTATACTTGTGATGTCCTTATATTCTAGCACCTGATCCTTACACTCTAGAGTGAAGGAAGACTGAAAGTTAAGGCTGAAGAATGTATATTATTAGGAAAGAAATTTAAACTCATAACCCTTTGCTTCCTGTGTCTATACAGATGTTCTTTACTCATCCCCTATGACCTAATAACTAACTAATTTCTCCTTCAATCCCAAGTCCCATCTCACCAATTCTTTGCTAATAAAGTAAACATGACACATCAGGTGTGATTCATTCTGGCAAAGTTCCTCCTCAAATTTATAGCTATGAAACCATACCCACAGTCTGCTCCCAGCATAGGGAGGTGGCACAGACATAGAGAAAATGGATATTCCCATTCCTGGAGAGGCAATTCACAACAAACTGGGTAGCTTTGAGCCCAAGGCAATCCAAAATTAGGTTGCCGAGTACCATCAGGTTGCAACAGAGGAGAACAATTTGCTTAGATTTTATGTGGGTCTATATGGTGATATTTTATTTGTACTGAAATGTAATTTTAATTTTATGTTAATAAAGTTGCTCTGGGGTCAGAGCTATTAGAGCCATAGCAAGAGCGTGGTGGTTAGAAGAGCTAGATAGATTTCTGTGTGTTCAGGGATACAGCCAGTATTGGAGACATACGCCTTTAAGACCTGGAGGGCAGTACTTACAGGCAGTGATGAGGCAGTCATGTGGTTGGGTTTACAACCAATGAGAAGGCAGAACAGAAAGACTATTTAAACACAGACAAACAGGAAGTAGCTCTCTCGGGGAAGCTAGGAGCACTGCAGGAGGTAAGATTTTATCTCTGAGCTCTGACCTCTCGGCTTTCTCTTTTACATTGGCTCTGTGTTTCTTATTTTAATAAGACGATTGGTTACATCTACAGGTCTACTCTCAGCCTGCTAAGGTTCAGAAATTTTGACACATTCAACATCTTTTCCAGCCATGAATGGAAGTGTTTTCTGTGGCCATCATCCAAGATATGTCTTTGGTACCATGCACTAAATATTTTCTTTGGAGTTTCTAAGATATAGGGAGCCTTACATAGCTTCATTGCAGCATGTATACCTTTTTGTTTTCCATTGAGGGTATTGGACCTGACCATATGCAATCCCAAGATACTTTCCCTGAACAAATCAGTTTTTTGAGAGTTCCTGAATCCCACATCGTCACCATGGAAATATTCCCCTAAAAAGTCTGTTAGAATTTATGATGTGATAAGCAAAGACTTCTGAAACATTCCCAACTCTTTCTTAGAGGCTCATTAGAAGAACAAGTGCTACACATGTTCTGACATATTTTTGTTTATTGATTGATAGATTGATTTTTCGAGGCAGGTTTTCTCTGTGTAGCTTTGTGCCTTTCCTGGAACTCACTTGGTAGCCCAGGCTGGCCTCGAACTCACAGAGTTCCACCTGTCTCTGCCTCCCAAGTGCTGGGACTAAATGTGTGCGCCACCACCACCCGGCATTGACATATTTTAAAGCTGTAAAATTTCTTCACTTTTTCTCAAGAGAATCAAACCAATAGTAATCATATCTTCAGGGATGAGACTAAAATTGGACATATTATTTTCTTTCATGGCTTGGAAGGACCTGTATGTGAGGACCATATCCAGCTCATCTGGCTATATTGTTTTTCCTAGGAAGTCACACATATTCTTTATGGTGCTCTTTGTGTCCTAAAAGAAGAAAAAAACAAAAATGAAGGTAATGAACAGAAATCTATGACAGAACAGATGTAGAGATGGGAACTAGGGATGGAGGATGAAAAAGAGACGTAAAGAAAGAAATGTTTACATGAGATGAGAAACCATTAAAAATGATTTCAGAAAGAAACAGGACATGTAGAGAGGGTAGGAGTCAACCCAGCATTTGTATTTTAAGTGGGCTTGAACTGTGGCTGATCTGTGACCATAAAAGACAGAGACTGGAATTTCTTCTAGGGAGGACAGGACATAATCTCATAAACTGATGCTGTTCTCAAACTTACTTTATAGTGGATGAAGTCACTGAACATTTGAATCTCCTTTTTCCATCTTTGTGGTGCTGTGTTCACAGGTGTGTGCCAACCCACCTACTAAATGCACTGCAATATGTCTTTTGTTCTAGAGAAAGGGTCTCACTATGGAGCCCTGATTTTTTTTCTGGAGCTGAGGACTGAACCCAGGGCCTTGTGCTTGCTAGGCAAGCACTCTACCACTGAGCTAAATCACCACCCCCTAGAGACCTGACTTATAAGCTGGAAGTTGCTCTGGAGACCAGACTGACCTTAATTAAGCTCAAAGAGGTCAGAGATCCACCTAACTGACTTTATCTCCTAAGTGTTGGCATTAAAGATGTGTACCACCATACCAAACCTGCCCTGAGATGTTTAAAGAAACTTATAGAATTAATTCTATACAGTGATAAATGGAAATTAAGGCAATGTGCACAAATAATTTGAGAGTGGTTAATGTTTACACCATGTAATATTGTTTCCTATGGGTATTGAGAATAATACAGTTTTAACAACCTCTGGAGGCATCATGATCCCTGACCTCAAGCTCTACTATAGAGCTACAACAATAAAAACAGCTTGGTGCAGGCATAAAAACCGACATGTGGACCAATAGAAACGAATTGAAGACCCTGACATTAATCCACACACCTATAACCATATAATTTTTGACATAGAAGCCAAAACTATACATTGGAAAAAAGAAAGCATCTTCAACCAATGGTGCTGGCATAACTGGATATCAACTGTAGAAGACTGCAAATAGATCCATATCTGTCACTGTGCACAAAATTTAAGTCCAAGTGGATCAAGGACCTCAACATAAATCCAGCTACTCTGAACCTGCTAGAAGAGAAAGTAGGAAGTGGTCTTGAACACATTGGCATAGGAGATCACTTCCTAAATATAACACCAGTAGCACAGAAACTGAGAGAAACAATCAATCAATGTGTACTCTTGAAACTGAGAAGCTTTTGTAGAGCAAAGGATATGGTCCACAATGCAAAGTGAGAGCCTACAGAATGGGAAAAGATCTTCACCAACCCCACATCTGACAGAGGACTGATATCCAGAATATATAAAGAACTCAAGAAATTAGACATCAAAAGACCAACAGTCCAATTAAGAAATGGGCTATAGAACTAAACAGAGAATTCTCAACAGAGGAAACTCAAATGGCTGAAAGACATTTAAGGAATTGCTCAACATCCCTAATCATCAGGGAAATGCTAATCAAAATGACTCTGAGATACCACCTTATGCCTGTCAGAATGAGTAAGATCAAAACACTGAAGACAGGTTATGCTGGAGAGGATGTGGAGCTAGGGGAATTCTCCTCCACTGTAGGTGTGAATGCAAGTTTGTACGACCACTTTGGAAATCAATATGGTGCTTTCTTAGAAAATTGGGTATCAATCTCCCCCAAGACCCAGCTATACCACTCTTGGGCATCTACCCAAGGAATGCTCAATCATACCACAAGGGTACTTGCTCAGCTATGTTTATATCAGCATTGTTTGTAATAGAAAGAACCTGGAAACAACCTAGATGCCCTTCAACTGAAGAATGGATAAATAAAATGTGGTACATACACACAATGGAATACTACTCAGCAGAGAAAAACAATGACATCATGAGGTTTGCAGGCAAATGGATGGATCTAGAAAACTCATCCTGAGTGAGGTAACCGAGACTCAGAAAGACAAACATGGTATGTACTCACTCACAGTAGGATACTAGATGTAAAACAAAGATGACTAGACTGCTACTCACAACCCCAGGGAGGCTACCTAGAAAACAGGACCCCAAGAAAGACACAGGGATTGCCCAATGACAGAGAAATGGATGAGATCTACATGAACAACCTAGACATTGTAAGTTTAACTGGAGAAGTTATGATCTAGAAAAGAATACTGAATAGGACAATTTCATTTACTAGCAATAGTGGACAAGGTGTCTGAACTGGCCTACTCTGGTAATCACATTGGTGAGTACCCTGTCAGGATAGAGCCTCTGTCCAGTAACTGATGAAAGCAGAATCAGAAATTCACAACTAAGCACCAGACCTAGCTCCAGTCAAAGAGAGAGAAAAGGTATTCTATGAGCAAGGGGCTTCAAGATCATGATGAGGAAACATAGAGACTACCAAACCAAATTAGTGGGAACTCATGAACTGTGCACCAATAGCTATGGAGCCTCCATGGGACTGGATTAGGCCCTCTAAATAGGCAGTTTTTTAGCTTTACCTGCTTAAGAGGCCCCTGGCAGTGGCATCAGGAACTGTCCATCCTGCATGAGTGGGCTTTTTGGAGTCTAGTACCTATAGTGGGGCCCCTTACATAACCTTGGGTCAGGGGGAGGGGCTTGGACCTGCCTCAATTGAATGTCCCAGGAGTTCCTGCCTTGGAGGAGGTGGGAATAGGAGTTGGAGTGGTGGTGGGGATCTGGGGAGATAGGAGGAAGGAGGAGAGGGGGATCTGTGGTTGGTATGTGAAATAAACAAAACATTTCTTAATTATTTAAAATAAATAAATAAAGCATTAATCACAGATCACCGTTAGAAAAAAGAATGATCTCAGTAATTATTACTTGAAGTAGTTCTGGGAGATTTCATTTTGTTTTTATTCATGAGCTCATGCTGTAACTTAGATGGGCATCACATGCACAGTCTTCCTGCTTCAGATACCTATATTCTGGAACTATAACTGTTGAGTGCCACTATTGGCTTAATCAAGTGAGATAGTCATAAGAAGGCAGAATTTTGGAACACTGAAGACTTTTCTTTGTATTCTAGCCCTTGTCCTGACTCCTAAAGGTATTATTGCCTCAATAGTTTTATTACATGTTTTACCAAATTTGAGTTACTATTTCATGGGAAGGAAACAACCATGTCAATAACTGAAAAGAATGTGTTGAATGGTTGGACAGGAGTCTTTTGAGAAACTGCACTACCATACAACAGAGATAGCTGTGTAAGGAAGCTTCCTATGAATATTGAATTTTGTAATGGGAAAGTAAAAGATTTTACCAAAGACAAGACTGTCTTTGGTGTTGCTACTTAGATGGCAACTTTCTGTTCCTAGATGATAAGGTTATGAGATCAATTTTTTTGAATGTTCCAGTTCTTCTGTTATTGATGCTCCTTAGTATTTTTCATTAAAAACAAAATTTTTGCTAATTCTACCTGTGGTGATATATTGTGTATCCTAATAAAGCTTACCTGAAGATCAGTAGACAGTGCCAGCCATTAGATCAGACATAGAGGTCAGGCAGTGGTGGCACACATCTTTAAAACTAGCACTCTGGAGGCAGAAATCTGTCTACATCTCTGTGAGTTCAAGGCCACTGGACTACATGAGATTGACTCAGTCTAGGAGAGAAACAGAGCTAAACAATGATAACACACACCTTTAATCCTAGCACTTGAAATCTCATGCCTTTGCTTGGGAAGCACACACACATTTAATCCCAGGAAGTAATATGTCAGGGCAAAGAAAGATATATGGGGCTTGAGGAGAGAGTAATTAAAATATTTTGGCTGAGGAAAGCTTTTCAGGTTGAGCAGTCCTCGCTGTATCAGGTGGCTTGTTCCTTTGTCTCTCTGATCTTTCAGTATTTACCCCAATATCTGATTCCAAGTTTTTTTTATTAAAACACTGTTGAAAATTTGAGTAACATCTGGCATCCAACTTTTGGGGCATGAATTCATGAAAAAGCCACTTGTCTGTGCCCTTCAGGCTCCCACTCAGGCCTCAGCTGCATGTAGTCAGAGTCTCCACCCTTATGCAGGCTGGACTCTCTAACCCACTGGATAAGTTTTTATTGCAGCTTCTGTGCAGCAAACTCTACAGGTTTTGGGGCTCCAAAAACAGCAGGAGTTAGACACTTTTGCACACTTATCCCATGCAGACTGTGGGTTTTTTTTCCCTTTTTTCTCCTGGTGGCTTTTAGCTTTCTCTGACCCCCCTCCCCAGGCTGCTGCCACACCATGATCTGAATCTCATTGTCAGTTGATTTGGTGAGTCAATTTGGATTTCATAAGGAGAAATTACTGAATAGAAAGTTTTTTCTCATATTAAAAAATGGAAGCTGGGTGGTGGTGGCACACGCCTTTAGTCCTAGCACTCAGAGGCAGAGCCAGGCAGATCTCTGTGAGTTTGAGGCCAGCCTGGGCAACCAAGTGAGTTCCAGAAAAGACGCAAAGCTACACAGAGAAACCCTGTCTCAAAACAACAACAACAACAACAAAAAATTCCTGAGATCAGCTTCTTGGAGAATGAGATAATGCTGAAATACAAAGACAAACTTTATATAATGACCACACCCTTGCTTTATGCTGAATGGCAGTCTTGAATACTTGGGACAGAACTGAAGAAGTAGGAAAGAAAATTGAGTCATTTACTAAAGTTATACAGGCCCCCCCCCGAAAAAATAACCTTCAGTGATTTCTTAAAAAGACTGACTTTAGCGGTAAGGAGAATGATACTAATTTCAGAGCCTAGACAGATAATTATTGAATCCCTGGCTTTTGAAAATGCTAATGCACAATGCAAAAGGGTAATTAGACTGTTAAAGGAAAAATCAGCACCATTAGAGGAACCAATCTGACATACGATATACATTAAATCTCATGATCATGATGATATTTAGATAGGAAAGGTGATTTCCAGAGGTTTGAAGAAA